GACCTGGGCCTGGGGGTCAGAAGACTGGGCCCAGCCTGGGGCCCCCAACTTCTGGCTCTGTGACCTCAAGCTTATTATCTCTCTGTAAACCCAGGACTACAAATGCTGACTCACAGGATCTGTGTAAACAATCAGGCCGGTGCCCAGCACATGGGGCCTGGTGGCTGCCACCCAGCTCCTGAGAGCTCAGAGAGCACCACCCACAGGAGGGGTATTTTTATGTTCGAAGGAGGAGCTCAACTCAACCTCCTCGCATACCCCCAACACTGCTCCACTCAGCCCCTCGGAGGCCCGCGCCCTGCTGTGGGCTGGCTGGTGTGCCCTGCAGTTGGACCTGCCCCATTTCACATCCGCTGGTCTCAGCCTCACCCTCTCCCTTGGAGGGGATGTGAGCAGGAGCGGCTCAATCAGGATATAATCATTTTTAATTAACGTGCAGATCATTTCACAGGCTGATCTCCTTGGAGACCAGAGGGAAGAGTCTTTTAAGATTTTCTTTTGCCTTCCTCTATCCACCCTCCAAACCGAAGGCTCCCCCACCCTTTCGCCCCCCCCGCACAGCCTTGAAAGCAGCTTGAAAAGCCCGCCGCCTGGGTTCCTCTGGGGCCATCAGGAGAGCGTGTGCTCACAGTCACACAGGAACGTGCCCAAGCTTGGGGCATGCTCTCCAGAAATGCACAAACGGGAACAGAGACAGGGCACATTCAGACAGGGACACACACAGATTCGCACACACAGGCATGGATGCATGCACACGTGCCAAAGCTGCAAGGCACAGAGACCCCTTAAGAAATATGCAAACAGAATCCGACACACACACATGTGGGCACACACATGCCCAGGCTGGCAGGCACACCAACCCCCAAGAATACACAAACAGGATCAGACACACACACACACAAAGGCACACACAGATGTGCAGGCACCTACAGGGACACACCCAAGCACAGAGGCACATCACAGAAATGCCCAAATACCCATCCTCACAGAGGGCTGCTCTACGCTCCACGGCTGGTGGGCATGCGGGCAGGAGGCGAACAGAAGGTCCCTTCCCTGCGACGGGAAGTCAGAGCCACAATGACCTGCCCCTACCAACACCCTGGTCCCAGCCCCCAACGCTGAGGGCCCTGCCACCTATCCTGATGGGGAGCCCATGAGCAGAGAAGTCACCAAGGTCTTGCCTCCCTGTCACCTGAGTGCACCTGGGATTTTTCTGAGCCCCGGGCCCTCCCCCCTAAACAGCCCTGGCAGAGCCCCTGGATATCTAACCTTTCCTGGCCATCCAACTCTGGCCCCCCTAATACCCATACAGGGAGGGTGTCCCCCAACTTCTCCTCTGGGGGAGAGATTTTCTCTCTTCTTTCTTCATTTTAAATAACCTCCCCTTTCTCTTTTCTAGCCCCTTCCTTTTTCTCCATTGTCTCCCCTTCCTTTCTTTTCTCTCTCCTTTGTCTCGTCCTCTCTTCCCCTCCCTCCCCAGGGGGCCTCCTGGGGTCAATCTAAGGTCAGAGGGAGAGTTTAAGATGTAGCTGGTCCTTCCCCTCCCCCACAAGGGGGTACCTGTGCAACACCTGCCCCCAACTCCTAACAGATCCAGACTTTGCTCTTTGGACAAGTAAACTGAGGCACAAGGGAGGGGCAGAACCACTGGGGTCCTCTGACCTCTGCAAGTCTCACCCCTCTCGCTGCACCTGCTTTGGATTCTTGGCTTTTCCTTCTGGAAAATGGGATGGCAAAGAGGAAGGGTGAGATGTGTGTGTGTGTGTGTGGCGGGGGGGGGGGGGGGTGGGCGGGGGGGAGACAACAGGGATCGCATGGCTGGCCAATGGCAGGCTGCTAACTTGGGTGACCCCAGATCCTGTGGCCACAGCCAGCGAGTGTGACACAGAAGGGCTTGGGAGCCCATCTCAGTTGGAGGCATGCTGGGTGCTTCTCTCCACTCTGGGGGTCTCAATGTTCCCATATGTGAGGTAGACGAGGTCCGGCTGCAGGAGCCCTAGGGACTCTCAGGATGCAAAACCAACATGGCAGACCAGTAGCCCATTCCTGGGGGCTGCAGGGCCCAGCAACTGCGGTGCGACCTTGGGACTCCCTCCCTTCTCTGGGCTCCCGTCACCTCCTCTGTCAAAGGAGGAGGGTTAAACAGGTGATTCATTGCCAAGGCTCCTTTTGGGTCTCATAGAAGGTTCTAGATTGTGCTAGAAGGAAAGAGAATCATGTGCCCCTTCTCTGGGAAAAATGAGAGGCCCATTTCTTTTACTGCAGGCACGTCGGAGCCTTTGGCATCAGCAGAATCATTTTTAGGAAATCATCTTAAACATCAAAAAAACCTTTCTACACAAAAATATATCCACTACCTCATTCATCAGGAGCATCCAGAATGCTGAGCAAAAGGGGAATATTAAGTAAATGATGGTACATCCACCAGATTGGAAGAGCCTGGAGACATGGTGTTTATGATGAGCTGGTTGCAAAACAGGAAAAGCCCGCTGTTAGCGTGCCAAAGGAGGGCGCAGGATACACAGCGGACGGACAGAGAATGACGACGGAGCCTTTAACAACAAGCCAACCGCCAGCCACAGGACTGCAGAGGCCGCATCCACACATCCCGCCGGCACAGCGCGGAGGCTCAGTACCCTCTTTGTTTCTTTCCATTTTTCAGATGTTCTATGAATCATATTTTAAAAAGGTCCTTTTCTTAAAAAAAAAAAAAAAATAGGCTAAACCCCTCCAATTGAGAAGCCTTCCTCATTCATTCATTCATTCATTCATTCATTCATTCATTCCTGATCCATTCACTCCTGTGTTGGTCTAGTAAAGCCCAGGGCCCATCCTGTGCCAGGCCTCAGGTCTCTAAGATCCCCAGGGACTGGTTCTCACCAGCAGGAAACGGAAATTCGGAAATTCGGGGTGGTTGGGGAAGAGAGAAGACAGCCCCTCAAATACCTACACATCAGGGGCTTGTGCCTAACCGGGGTGCTTTCTCCTGGGAGTGAGGAGAAATCAATCCTGCCCCCTACTGGGCCCTGGTCCCCTATGACCTCACCCAGCTCTGCCCTCGGCACCTAGGGTCTCACAGTCCAACCTAAGGGTCAGAAACTCACCCTTACCCACCCAGCCTCTAGCTGTGGGTGGTGGTGGGGGGGAATAGGGGCAAGTGCAGAAGTGCCCCCCCAGTCCCTATGATTACACTTCCAGTTCCTGTGGACCTGCCAAGTCAGGTAGCCCTTTTTCAAAGCCTCAGGGCCACAAGGGCCCCGGGGCAACACCCTCTCTGGCTCTTATTTCAGGCTCCACCCGCCAGGTCCTGCTCGTGGCAGCACCAGGCGTCTGCTAGCTCCTTCCCTGCTAGCAAGTCAAAGGGTCCTGCTGCCCGTTCCTGCCATGTGGGGCGAGAGAGCTGGGGAACCCTCTCTATTCCTGGACCAAGCCACAGACTGGCCTGAAAACTGTCTGCTACTCCCCTCCCCCAGGTGCCTCCACACTCCCCCAGGAACCCTCTTTAAACAGGGAGGATCTCCTTCACCTGCCTGGGTGTCCAGCTCCAGGGTCCCTGTCTAGCCCTTGGGCTGCACACCTGGGAATCCCATAAGGCAGGTTCCCATCGACTCTCCTCCCCCAACCCCGTTCCAACTAGCCCCGTCCCCCCCCCCCCTCAAAAATAAAAAAAGGAGCAAACGGATCTGGGAGCTTTGAGTGCCCAGAAACCTCTGACCTCGTGGCCCCCACTCTGAGGTGAGCCCCTCTCAGGATTGCAATCCCCAGAAATTCTCTCCCTTCTTAAGGCCCCAGTGGGAAAAGAAGTTCCCACCACTCCCCTCCCCCTCTTCTCTCTCTCGCCCAGACCCTGGGGGAGGGGATGAGGCGCCCGAATCGCCGGTCACCAGGGCAGCATCTGCTGTGGATCGCAAGAAACACACACACACACACGCGGGCGCGCGCGCGCGCGGGCGCGCGCGCCACCCTCAGGATCCCCTCTGAAGCCTGCATTGTACCGGAGGGGAGGAGGCCCAGTTGGAGGGAGGAGGCTGAGGTTGGGGAGGCCCGACGATGATCCTGAAGTCACCAATCAGCAAGCCCAAGAATCCACCGCCCGGGGCCAGAACTCAGGCCTCGGCCTTCCCTGCAGCTCACCTGCCCCCGCCCCCACCCCTCAAGGCGCCATCCTACGTCAAAGTCTCTACCCCAACAAGCACCCCCCCCCCCGCCCCCGTCCCCTCCACAGGGTCAGCAGCCCCAGGAGAGACCAAGCTACCACTAACCCCCACCCCGACAGCAGAAGCGCCAGATTTCATTGTCAGCCCGGCCACTCGGCACAAGATCCAGCAGGCGCCGCGCGAGGAGTGGGGAGGGGTCTCCAGGGGAAGTGTTCGGAGCTCAGCTCTGCTCGGTGCAGATCCGGAAGCCGCTGGGGGTAGAGGAAGGCGGGGGTGGGGAGCACAACCGTAAGCGCTGGCGGGCGGCCGGCCGGAGGAAGCACCCGGAGGCGGCAGGGGCGCCAAGTTCCCCAGGAGGCTGCGCTCTCGGGAAGTTTCCCACCGGTTGCCGGGAGCAGGACCCGGAGCGCGGACGGCCCTCGCCGGCCTGGCCAGCTCTGGGGCGCAGATTGCGAACTTGAGCAAAAAAACTCCTTCCTTCGCCGGTGTCTCACTCCCCACCCACTGCCACTAGCCCCTCCATCTCATCCCTCCATCTCAGCCCCTCGCCTGCCGCCAGTACGACTGTCGCCAAGACCGAGGAGGAAAGGGGAGGAAGGAATCTCCAGCACAACCAAACTGCGGCAAAAAAAAAAAAAAGAAAAAAAGAAATTCCTTCTCCTGAGACCAATTCCCTCAACCGACACGGAAAACCAACCCCCGAACAGGCAAAGCTGCAACTCCAGCCAAGATTGCGGCGTGCGGGAGGGGTGCCGGGTTTGGAGCGCCGCGGTGGTCGGGGATCCGGGAGCCCGCGCACCCCAGAACGGCTCCCCGAAGGCACAAAGCTTCCGCCAACAATACCTGCGGGCTCCTCCCGGGTCTCCCAGCGCCGGCGCTGCGCGTCTCGCCGTCTCCCTTCCCCAGGCAGCCTCCTCCTCCGCGCACGCCTGCTCCCCTTCGCTCCTTCCAGAACTCGGCAGCCGGAGAAGATCCTTGGGAGAAAAAAATGTGAGCGCTCGCACGATTCCTTTCTCTCCGCCGCCGCTCGCGCAGCCCGGCTCGCTCCTTCTCCCTCGCGCTCCCGCGCGCGCCGCGCCTCTCGCGCCCCGCGTTTCCTTCTCAGCAGCCCCTGCGAGCGCCCTCAGTAGCCATTATTCACGGGTCGCCAGGGGACAGGAGGTAATTAGAGACCGCCCCGTGGCCGCATCCACTCGGAAAGCGCGATGCAGACGCGGGGCGGGGGGGGGGGGGGAGGGGGGCGCGCACACGCGCGTGGGGAGGGGCGCGCGACAAGGGGGCTTGACTGCGCGCAGCCCTCGCCCCAGACGAGGGGGAGGGGAGAGGAAGGGGGAGCAGAGAGGAAGGGGGCGTAGGGGAGACGCTCCAGCGGCTCACTGCGGGGCTCCGGGTCACAGGCTAGGAGGCTCGGTGGCGCTTAGGGACTGGGGGTGGGGGTGAATGTCTCCGTGCGTGTGTGTGTGTGTGTGTGTGTGTGTGTGTGCGCGCGCGCGCGCTACCCAGAGATAAAAAGGGAGGGAGGGAACGCTTTAATATTTTTCCAGTGACTTACGAGCCGGTGGGTGAGCTCTTCTTGGCTGCGCGTTGAAGTCCGTGTGTGTATCAATGAGGCGGTATACTGCTGGTCTGTCCTACGTGTGAATGTCACGGGGTGTAGGGGTCTGGCTGCGAGCTGTGAATGGATGCAAGCTGTGAATGTGTCTCTGGGTCTCAGAGGAACCGAGTGATGCGGTGCCTGCGTGGGTCATGTTTGTATGCGATTGTTTATGGGGGGGGTGACTGCGTGGGTGTGACTGCGCCTGTGCAGAGCAGTGTCTGTGTGAGGTTGTGTTGGGGGGAATTGTGTCTGCGTGGGCCCGAGTGTGTCTGAGGGGTGTTGTGTTACGTGTGGGCCTGTTTGCGAGTGGGATTGCGGCTGTTGGGGCTGTGCATGGAGGAGGCAGTGCGCTTGTGCAGGGCCGTGCGTCCGCGAAAGGCTGTGGTGTGTGTGAGGGCGATCTTGCATGGGGCTGTGTTCTGCGTGTGGGCTGAGGCCCCTCGGGCGAGGTGGGGGTGGGGGGTGGCGGTGGACCGAGTGCTCTCGGGGATCCCATAACCGCAGAAGAGCCACTAAGGCTCGAACAGGCTGCGATGGGGTCAGGGCGCAAAGCGCCGAGCAGTGGGGGAGGAGAGGAGGAAGAGGGAAGGCGGAGAGGCGGGGACTTCATCCTGCGCCCCCTCTCTGCACTGGAGACGCAGCTTAGACACGGATCCTGGCACTTGCCAGCTCCAGGTGCTGGAGACACGGGTTGCAGAACCCTGGGCAGGGGAAGCTGCCTAAGGCCTGGGGGCAGCTGGAGCTAACACTTGCGATCCAGGAGCAGCCTGGAAGCCTGCGCGGCCAGGGTTGCCTGAAGAAGCAGGTCATGGTCGGGAGACAGTGGAGGACTAGCCGGAGACAAAGAAGAGCGGCGGGGAGGGGGCGGGTATTTCAAGGCGGACCACACCTCCAGGTTTCCTCCCCTTCTGACCCCCACCCCTCGGCAGAGGGGTGGCCCAGCCACGACGCTAAAGGCTGGCGTAGAGCCCCGCGAAATGGTGTGGCCCCTCCTTGCCCCAGTCCCCAAGCCGCCTGGAGCCTGGGATTACGCGCCCCAGGCGGCTGCGGTGGGAGGGGGGGCGTTCTGAGCAGTGTATGTGTGTTTGGGGGAGGTCTGAGCGGTCAGGAGGGTGTGATGCCAAGGGACTGTGATTGAGCGCTGGGCTGGCCACCGCCTTGCTGGGCGTCTCACCGCCTACGCAGCCATTCATTCATTCATTCGCCTCTCCATCCACCTACCCACCCTTCTTTCCAGACACGTGTCCGACCTATAGGGGTCGGTCTATTCTATTATCGATCGTATTATGGATTATTGAGCCACAGACCACACAGCCTGTCAGACCTGGCTCTCTCCGAGCTCCTCTGGTCGCCACTCGCTAGTGTTTCACTCTCCTCACCCCTCACCAAGCTTTCCATTCAGGCCCCTCTCTGTTCTGGTAAGAGGGGAGGAGCACGGGTTTTGTGGTTCAGAGATGGGCCACCTCCCCTCTCCCCACCTCCTAACTCCCACCAGCACCTACCAACCTCCCCACACATCGAGGCCAGGGGCTTCTCCCCACCCCTCCGGCAGCATCTCCACCTCACTGCTCCAGCCCCCTCTGGGTTGGGGATGGGGAGAGCAAGAAAGGGTTTCATGCCAGGATTGCTGTGCCACCGGGTCCTTGGCTGAGGACTGCAGGGGCTGGTGGCACAGAGACCACTCGTTCCTGAGTGGCGTGGACCGGCAATCCCAGTGTCAACTGGGAAACTCAAAACAGCCTGGGCCCTAGCCCGGACCTAACCAATCCACGTGCCCAGAGCCTCGCTGTTTTCTTGCTCATGCTGATCCCTCTGCCAAGGAAACTACCTACTGCCAGGTCCGGAACATCCAGACCCCTGAGTGCGGCGCCCACCTGGGGACAAAGAGCAGGCCTCTCTCCCAAAAATGGACCCAAAACAGCCTCCGGGCTGACTGACCCCTGGCTCACCTGTGAAGGGGCTGACTGCAAGCAGCTGCTCCCAGCCAGCAGTCCCTGGGCGGCCCAGCTCCTCCCTGGGCTCCCCATCTTTAAAATGCAGACTGTTTCATCCCTACCTTTATGATCTGACCTGGAAACCAGGGTCCCTCAGACCTAAGGCTGCTGGGTGAACCAGGAGAGGCCCGCTGTGTGCATCGTTAGACAAAAAACAAATACCTGCTGGGGACACCAACCCAGCCATAAACCGATCCATGACCTGTCACAGTGCCACCTAACCCTTGCCTCAGCCTGTCCCTGTCACATCCTGGCTCAGCCACCTCCTCCATGCAGCCACCCACAAAAGGTCAAGACCGGCCAGACTGTGATGGCAGCGCTTGCCTCTTCCCCGGGAGCAGGGCAGGCTCCCACCCACCCTGGTTTTGGAGCGATCACAAGAAGGAAGAGCCCTCACACTGCTGAGGGCCCTCACGGTCAGGCCCACCACCTGTGACCGCACCCCCACCCTCCTTCTCACCGCCCTTGCATTTGCAGGCCCACTCAGTTCACGGCCTTTGTCCTTGCTGGTCCCTCTGCCTGGAATGTTCTTCCCTGACTGCTAATGTACCTTATAATTTACCTATTTGTGTACTTATTTTTGTTTGTGTAGCCTCCATATCTGGAATGGTGCCTGGCGCTCATTCAGTAAGTATCTGTTGAATGGATCAATGGGTAAGTGAAGGACTGAATGAGGCCAACCCCAGCCCTTCCTGTGAGCATGACCAGGCCCGGGGCCTTCTCTTCTGGGAGCCAGCAGCCCCTTTAGAGAACAACAGAGGGGTGGGGATGGAGAGCACCAGGGCAAAGGCAGCAGGGGCGCTCAGGGCTGCCCTTCATGGGTTCTGGATTCCCCCCTCATGCCCTCGGGGGTGGAAGGAATGAGATGGTGGTTCCATGGCTTATCCCAAAGGAGAGCAGAGCCCTTCATCTGTCCAGCACCCTCTGCGTTGTTCCTGGGGCCATCTGGTGGAAGGTCCAGACTCACATCTGCCAAAGGGGATGGAAGACCCCTGCCTGGCCAGGGCCTTTCTTTAAGTGCTAAGAGGCAGTGTCATGTCCTAGGACAGCCCCCAGGTACCCCGCAGGCTTCTGCCCATCCCTCAGAGCTGTCAAAGGCTTGTCAACACACAGCAAGACAGTCTGATCCCTACTTGAACATAAGTGTCTGGAGAGGTCTTGCCACCTCTGCCTGGCAGAGGAGGTGCTCAGCATGGATTTAGCAAATGAATGAATAAAGTGACAATGTCAAGATTCAAACTTAGGTCTTCATGGCCCCCAAACTCTTGCTTGTCCTCTCAGACTCTATTGGCAGATTCCACGGGATCACGGCAGCAGCACCCAACACACAGCAGGCACTCCGTAAATGCTGAGGGAATGACCAGCAGGGGAGGCTGCTGGCTGGCAAGATCCCTGCTCTGTCCAGGGTCTGACTCCACTACCCACCCATGAGTTCTACTCTAGGCAAAGTGGGGCGAGGGGGCCCATCCCATTGACTGGTGGGAGAGCTCTATGGGCAAGAGTGGGAGGTCCCAGTCTCAAAGGGCCCGCTCTTTCCTGGTGAGGCGTCGCCGTGTTCAGGAGAGCCTGGGCCTGGACGGTGCCCGTTGGTTTGCCCAGCACTGAATAGGGGCTTTCCTGCGAAATCTGTGTCCAAAAGCTGTCCCAGAGCTAAATAATAGCAGGGGCCATGAAAGAGACCCCAGCATGAGCTTGCAGGGTGCAGGCAAAGAGGTCAGCAGGGCTGCCAGGTGTGAGGCTCACTGATATGCCACCAGGGGCAGGGGTGATCCAGGGGCCACCAGGTGGGCACAAGAAGCAGAGAAGAGGGCTCTGGACTCCAAACCACCAGACCAGGCACATGCCACTGAGATCCAGAAGTTGCGTTCAAGTTCAGACCTGGGCTGGTAACCCGCAGGCCCTCCTCGCCTTGGGGCTATGTGCAAATATGAAGGCCTGGGGCCAGAGGTGGGCCAGGCAGGTTTCACATCTGCTCCGCACATGTTTATGGAGGAGTCAGCCAGTGATTTCTAACCTCTGTCTTTTCCTCCTCTCAGTCACCCTCCCTATTTCAGAGACAGATCTCTGAGGTCCAAACGATGGACTTGCCCAAGGTCACGCAACTTGAGTGCAGCAGAAATATTCATCCATTTGGTTGGCAAATCTTTACTGAGCACCAACTATGTTCCAGGCACCATTCTAAGAGTTAGGAATGAGGAAAAGTTCCCAGTCTTTTCTAGCTGCGATACAGACAGGAAGCAGAGTGAGTGAGGAAATGATGTAGTGTGTTGCATTAGGTGGGGCAGTGCTGTAAAAAAAATACAGCCAGGGAAGGGGCTGGGAGCTGTTTCATATGGGGGCTCAGGAAACTCACCCTTGAAATAATCTGAGAGCAGATTTGAAG